ATGCAAGTATAATCCCTGTCTTGTGGAAAGCCGTTTTAGGTGTCATCTCAATCATTCCCTCGTCCCAATTATGAGGCATGAACTTTAGAAAGATGCTCATGGATCAGAAGTCTACAACCATGTCAGCCTTGATCCAAGTGGTTTCCCCTTTCTACTTGTGTGGCCCCACTTTTCTCTTCCCTTAGTCTCTGCTTGTTTGGTCAGTGGGTCCTGTTTATCTGCATCTCTCCAATAGTTGGGGGTCAGATCCTGAAACTTTCATCCTCATGTTCAATAATAATCCTAAGATTCTTATTGCATACAAGAGCCTAGCAGGATACACTTAGAATGATCACACTCCCAAAATTCACTTTTCCTTTTTATATTGCTTTAAATAACAACTTATGCACATACATTCACTTCTCACAAATCTGTAGATCTGGAAGAAACCTTAAGGTTCATACTTCATCTAACTTACTCATCCTACTTCCAGAAATTGTACCATTTCATCCAAGAATACCTAGATGGTTTATTAATCCATAATGAAGGTGAGATCTCCTTACCTAAGTGTATCTTAAACCACATCTACAGTGTGGGATTGAAGGCATTAGTTCTGTCTTTTCCATCTTATCATTACTACATAGCTGCTTGCCTGTGGATATGAGCAGATGCTATGTTTCCAATTACCGGACGGAAACTGCAGCTTCTGAGAACACTGTTGAGGTCATGGTGACCCACCTTCCCTACGCTCCTTGCCAAGCTGAGCTCCATTCTCTCCTTGTTCACTCTGTCATTTGCCACTGGACTAGACACTCACCAGTGCCCAATAAATGTTCCTGAAAGGAGGAAAAGTAGAAGGAAATTCTGTAATTATCCCAAGAGCAGAAAACATCACTCTCTATAGGAGAAAATAGTTTATTATCATCTGAAATCACCATCAAAATTGCACTGAAATAGAAGATAATGAGTTCATGCTGCACACGCAGAAGTAGGGGAACACCCTGTCTTAATCCTTCACTAGGCAGGGTTTCTACAATGAAGTGGTTTGGGCAAGTGGAATTTATTACAAAGAGGATTTGTGGGCCCCAAACTGTTAACATTTTTAACTTCAAGCCACATATTTGTATTGTTTCTTCTGCTCCTATCACAGGACAGAATTTACTGCAGTGATATGGAGGTGCTAAATATAAAAACAATGTAAAAACAAGGTATAGCACTTGTATAACTTTCTTTAACATCTCTCAATATTATATTTTAGTAAAAATTTTAACAAAACACATCCATTTACATTTGTTTATCTGAACTCAAAATATTGTCAAGTAATAATATGATTTTTCATCATGTGAACAAAGCAGCTGAGGTTCAGGAAGCTGCTGATGGCAGGATAAAGGAGGAGCAGACCAGCGCTCAAATCCATCGACTTCTTACGGCAAGGTTTCCCCACTCACCACACCGCATTCTCCACAAGGCAGCACAGCTCTCCTAAGGCTCTCTTCTAAGGTTCCTCAGGCTGCGGCTTCCCCAGCCCACATCCATCCACAACTCCTTTTGGCCTCTCACTGATGGGCCGAGCGAAAGCTGACAAGTTAGTACAGGCTTGACCCTGCTTCCAGCTTGGTTCCCAGGTACAACAAGAACCTGGCAAATCACCTGACCCATGTTCCTTGGGACACTTTACAAAGTGAAAGAGATGGAAAGTTTGGGCTGTAGAGCTATTTTTACTTTTATAGTTTTTAATATTATTTATTTTATTTAATTATATTTTATATAATTTTCAACACTTTCTGGAGGGACTCTTGATCTCTGACAGCAACACTGAGGAGAGGATTGCAGCTACAGTAGCAATGGGCCTACAGATGGCAGCAGGCACAAGTTGAGAAACTTCCTATGCCTGCTCCAGGGCAAGGCTCTGCAGGCAGCCTCAGGCTCCCTGGGCAGTACTCAGAGTCCCAGCCACCTGCTCCTCAGCTCCGACCCCACAAGCTAATCTCCACCCAGAATCCAAGGCCAGTTTCTTCGGTGACACCTCTGGCCACCTTGGGGCAGGGCTGGTGGGAGGCTGGAGACTCCTGCTCCAGGCAGGCGTTCTGCTCTCACACTCCACAGGTGGGAACCCAGCCACAATTTCCAGCCAAGGGATCCCTCACCTGAGTTATGCTTTTCAGTCTCTTGTTCTTGATGCTGTGGACCCACTCTGGCTTCTTAACACTGATGTATTATGGCATTTGTCCTCTGCTATCTCCAATGATTTGCACAAACCTGCTCTGGTTGGCTTCCCACAGATTTTTACCAAGCGCTAATATTTTAAATTTCTTATTTGATTCTAAGGCACTGCTGATTTCTGCACACACATTCTTGACTTTGAAAGGTGACATTTCTGAGAGTTTTGTTGAAAGCATAGTGACTGACATACTCAACACTGTTTTCTATCAAAGAAATATTTACTATTTAAATGTTTCTGAGAGCCACATGTATGCCTAGAAATTATCTTCCTATTAAGAAATACTAACAATCTCTAATCCCATGTTTCTAGAGGAGCAGTCAGCAAGCTGGGAGGGAGAAGACCCAGTGCCACCCTGGCTGAGAAAAGGGAACCCGTGCTGATGGAGGTTCAGTCCTTTTCCATCACTTCGTGGTCAGTAGCCCAAAGTGAGTGTCACTGCTGTACAGATACTCTCGGTATATTAATTTCTCAAAGTTTATTGAATATTTAAGTCATCACTTCCATCTCATTACACAAAGGGCACCATTCTGAGAAGTAAGAAATAACTGCAGAGATAATTTAATTACATAGCTTCCAATTTAATTCGCCAATATGCTCTCCCCCTGTTAGCACATTTACTTTAACTAGTACTTTTGTTATTATGTATTTAATCTCTATCTCCAGTGAAATTATAGCAACCAGGAGAGTCAGAATTCTTGTGTATCTCGCTTTCTTGCCCACAATCAGGTGCCCCATGTCTAGCTCAGTTTCTGGCACAAGCAGGAGCTTTGGTGGAAAGGATGGGAGTTCCATCTGGCCTGATGGTGACGTGAGAAGATGGGAGAAGCCTCCTCTCTAGACAGTGACATAGCCTGAGCACAAGGAAGCCTGAAAAGCCACCGAATCCTGGCTTTGGAAGTGACGCCCAGAACCCCAGGACCTCCCTCCCTTTCCATGTTTGGTGACAGCTGTGTGCCCACTGCTCCGCACACAGAAGGACCCTTACTTCCTCTCCTGTCTTCCATTTTCCTCCCTCATTACCTCATTGTCCAGTTTTCCTGGATTTAGTTTTCTTCCTCTTTGTCTTTCTTTTTTCCCATTTCTCCTATCATTCTTTCTGCTCTTTCCCCACCACTTGTTTTCTGTTTCTTATTTGCCTCTTTCTTAATTGGGACTGTCCAAAGCCACAGACTTTAAAGGGAGCCAGGGCGGAAGCGTCATGCTTGAGAACCTAATAGCTCAGTGTCAGAGCCGTGTCCCTTTCTCCAGTGTCTCCATGGCAATGTCCTCTCATCATCCAGGCTAAAGGATCTGGCCTTGGTGTCCTGTTCCACCTCACATCCCGGCTTTGTGCTTAATTCAAGACCCCTAAGTTGAGTTCATAACCTGCCCATTCTGACACTCTATCCCCAGCCCAGCAGCCCGTCCCACCTGCTCCATGAGGAGGGCCAACGTGACCTGGGTGAGTGAGTTTGTCCTAATGGCTCTCTCTGACAGACAGAGCCAGGTGGGGCTCTTTGTGCTGTTTGGAGCCACATACCTGCTGACCCTGCTGGGCAATGGGCTCATCCTCCCGCTGATTGCACTGGACACACGACTTCACCTGAGCATGTACTTTTTCCTCTGCTACCTTGAAGTCATGGACATCTGCTACACTTCCAGCGGGGTTCTCCAGATGCTGGCACACTTCCTCCTGGAGAAGAAGACCATCTCCTTCACCCAACATGGGGTACAGCTGTTCTTCTCCATGACCCTCGGGGGGACCGAGTTTGTGCTGCTGACTGTGGTCTATGACCACAATGTGGCCACCTGTGAGCCCCTGCTTTACATGGCAGTGATGAGCCCCAGGCTCTGTGTGGCACTGGCAGGTGTCCCTCAGCTTGTGGGCCTGGCTAACTCCTCCGTGGAGACAGCAGTCACCATGAGCCTGCCCACCTGTGGTACAATGTGCTGAACCATGTGGCCTGTGAGACAATGACGTTGGGCAGGCTGGCCTGTGTAGGCATCACCCTCAACCAGGTGGTCATAGTAGCCTCCAGTGTGGTGGTGCTGCTGCTGCCCTGTTGCCTGGTCTTGCTGTCCTACGTCTACATAGTGGCCTCCATCGTGATGATCTGCTCCACCCAGGGACGCTGCAAAGCCTTTGAGAAGTGCGCCTCTCACCTCACTGTGGTCTCCGTGTCTTATGGGATGGCCCTGTTCACCTTCCTGCAGCCCAGGTCCATGGCCTTAGCTGAGCAGGACACAGTGGTGGTGGTCTTCTATGCTGCGGTGACCCCCATGTTGAACGTTTTCATCTACAGCCTGAGAAACAAGGACATGGAGGCTGCTGTAAAACGGGTTCTGATGCACAGCTCTGAGTCAAAATGTTAGCTGGTGATGTTTAGCAGAAAAGGATCCTCTCTGAAGACATTGGACCCTGGATTTTGAACTATGGACATACCACCTAAGTGTTTGCCTGGACATGTGACTGTGTGTACGTGTAACTGTACAGATGGTAGGACAGCATTCTGCACTACTCTCCCTTGTTGTAATAAAGATATGGAGTTTTTGTGTCTGGACTCAACTTGAGGTGCACACCTTATTCCAAAGGACATGAATGATATTGATTTAAAAATACACATGCCCTGCTACAAAGTTAAGTGAAGTAAAATAATTTTCTTTAAGGAATGAAGGAAGAAAAAGGTTTATCACAGATATCAATTAGAAATGAGGTTACATTAGAATTCAGGGCAGCGTGCACAGTTTATATCAAGAAAGTCCATTTCCTTTCTAAAATACACAAATATACATCAAAATCTCTTTCCTAGTCATTGACAAAAAGAAAAATGAGCTGTAGTTTGTAGAATGCACTATGCCAGTTTGACTAAATGAACTTCAGTGCAGACTTGCAGAAGTCATGTGGCCACACATGGTTCACTGCATGACATTAGGATGGGGAGATTACAAGGGCATCTGAGGCCAAAGGCATAGTTACAGTCCCCACAGCCCTGCTGAGTATGACTGACTGTGTGAGTCACATGAGCATCACTCTGCTCCTTTCCCTTTCCAGCTGGCAGGGAAGACAAACAGCAGACCAGAGAAACACATGATCAGGACCTTAAGCCAATGTCTCTCTACACAATAGACTCCAAGGATGTTCCCTTGTGAAAACTCAGGGATGTATTCACAATCCACCCTTTACTAGAGGGCCACCACACACCATCAGAGGTGGGCCAAGGTCTTCAGAAAGGAAAGAAACTTGATTCTCCACCTGTAAAAATGTTGTTTTCCTTCTCTAATGCATAAGTAAATGACAGAGTTCTAGATATGCTGCATCATAGAGCAAACCAGAGATGTTTTTATACCGAGAAATGCTTAAAACAGCTTTTAAGAACCAGACTTAAGCCTCTCTTACACAAATATCACAGAAGTGTGATTTGTCTTGCCCACAAGGAAAAAAAAACATAGATTCACAACAACTCAAGCTTTACTCTTTCTGTGGAGAGAATGGTAAAGGATTGAAGAGGAGAAAAGGGAGCATTTTTTAAAAATTTCAAGTAAATCTTATATTGAGATAAGATTCATGTAACATACAATTCACATTTTTGCCAGGTGCAGTTTATTGGCATTTACCACAACTGCAATACTGAGCTGCCTTACTTCCATTAGCTTCAGAACATGTTCATCACTCCCTAAAGGATTCCTCATTCCCAAAAACAGTCACTCCATCCCCCAGCTCCTGACAACACCAGCCTGCTTTCTGTCGCCAAGGATCTGCCAATGTGGACACATACATTAACGGAATCATGAAATATGTGATCTTTTGTTTTTCTCTCATTTTGCATCATGCTTCTGAGATGCTTCACACTGCAATAGCTGAATCATATTCAGTTGTTCACATCCACCACATTTGTTTATCCAGTTATCAGATGATGATGATATGGATATTTGAAACTAGTATGAGTAGTGTTACTATGAACATTCATGTACAAATTATTATTTGAATACCTGTTTTCTGGGTAGACACCTAGGAGTGAAAATGCTGCATCCTATCTTATGTCTCAAAGACATAAAGAAAGCTGTGTGAAATCTTCTGGGCAGTAATTCTTTGGGTAGGATTCCAAAAGGACAGGCAACAAAAATAAACATCATGACATCAAATTAAAACTGTTTAATAGCAAAAGAAACAATCTTCAGAATAAAGACACAGCTCATGGATTAAGAAAAAATATTTTCAAAGTATACTTATGATAAGAAAGTAATATGCAAATTGGATAAAAAGCAAATACAACAGCAAAAAGATAAATATCCCCATTTAAAAACAGAGAAGGGCTGCTGATATAGCTCAGCAGTACAGCGCCTGCTTGGCAAGCGCAAGGTCCTGAGTTGAATTCTTGGTGTCAAAAATGAATGAATGAATAAATAAATAAATAAAAACAAATGATGTGAATAGACATTTATCAAAAGAAGAGATATGAAAGGCCAGTAAATGTATACAAAATGTTTTATATCTCTAACTGAATTCATCCCACCAGGAGATATTACCTCATACCTGTCAGAATGGCTGTCATTAAAAAGATGAGTGACAACTGGCTGTCATGGTCCATGCCTAGAATGCAAGCACTTGGAAGCCTGAGGCAGGAGAATTACCACTAGTTCAAGGCCAACCAGGGCTACAAAATCAGTTCAAAGACAGGTGAGGACGGGGAATGTAGAGCAGTGGTAGAGCAATTGCCAAGCAGGGGTAAAGAATGCCATGAGTTCAGGACTCAGCATAAACGCCCAAAAAAGACAAGTGTGATCAAGGGTTTAGAGGAAAGAGAACTCTTGACTGTAGAGAAAATTAAGTTTTTGGTTTGAAAAAAGGGATGATGTGAAATCAGAAGGGGAGGTATAAGAGAAGAGGATGAGACAGGAGAAACTGGGTAATGGAGGAATTATAAAAGTACACTATATGGATGTATAAATATGCAACATTAAACCCATCGTTATGTGTAATTTATATGAACTATAAAAGAAAGAAAACTCTTGTGCACTCTTGGTAAATTGAAATTTGCATAGTTATTTTGGCAAATAATATGAAGGTACCTCAAAAAAGGGAAGCTCAATCTAACGTATGATTTAGCAATCGCACTTCTGATTATGTGGCTTAAAGAATTGGAAAGTTGTGTTGAAGAGTTAAAAGTTCAGATTTTCATCTGTGTGGAATAGGTGGGATTGGGCTGTTTCAGAAATGAGTTTTGACCTGGAGCAATGCACTTCATAGAGAAGACCTGAAAGCGTTGTGGCTGTACATGCGGTAAGAGTTATTTTATGTTATTCCTGTCACTGTAGCTGTAAGGGTTTCAGTTTGAGGGAGTCTTCATCCTCTGCAGAGCTGATAAGGGAGTAGATTGTCATCAGGTGTTGGAAGTGAAATTTCAGCAAAGTTTTGTAGAAGTTTGCAAATGGGAAGAACAATGGGAAATAATCTCCAGAAGAGAAAGTGTGAGGAGTGTTTCGTTAAGGGATGCCCATGCATCAGTTGGAACAGGTTGAGGCATTGGGATGGCATAGATGTGTACAAGACCCACCCACATCCTCTGGGTTTGCTGGACATGGAGAGGGAAATAAAAATGCAATAAATAAAAAGCAAATCTGTTGTCAAAAATATCAGAATTGATTCAGGAGGCCCCTGAAATTCTGCCCAAATTCTATGAGAGATTGTTTGATGCCTACAGCACCTATTCCCCATTTGACCCAAAGGCCCCACAGAACCAAAAGAGGATGAATTCAGTCTCATAATTCAGTCAGCCCTGGACATCTAGAAAAAAATTCGGAAACTTGACAGACTTGTTGTCATGAACACCGCCTTGCTCCTGCAGATAACTCAAAGGGTCTTTGTAAATCAGGACAAAGAAAAAAGGAGAGACGTTGAGAGGAAGATAAGCTTGGTCAACAGTAGGCCACTTTCTTGGCTGCCATGATGGGAAACCCTGTCGTGAAAATCCCTGTCATCCACAACTGCCAAGAGGAAAACCAGAAAAAGAGAACAGAATTCCTTTCAAACTTAAAGTTGGTGGCTGTCCTTAATCACTTCCTGACAATCAATATTCCTGCTGAAAGCAATTTGGACTTTCACATGGCAAAGGCCCACTCTGCCTATGATACAATCCAAAGGTTCAATCAAATGGATGCCCCCAACCAAAATCTCTCCTGTCACTTTTTGATGAAGGGGAAGATTAAGACAGACAGGGCTCTATTTCATTGGGCCACAGGAGACCACAGTTGTGATCAAAATTGTAGGAAAACCCCTGACTTTCAGGGAAGACTCTGGAGTGAAACATTTCATTGTTACTCAACCTATCATGCCCCTGACTTTCAAGAAAATGAAGGTAGTTGGGACCACAGGAATACCCTCAGAGAATAGATTTTGTCTCAGCTCATCTTGTGAATTTGAAGGCCATCTCATCAACCACTAGTTCCTATAAGTGCCTGAGTGCCCGATACCTCTCTTAGGATGTGACCTCCTTACAAAGTTAAGTGCTACTACATCCTCTGATCCAGAAAACCCACCTCCTTCACTCTCCGACCAGAGACTCCAGGCCTAATGTTGACCCTAACAATCCCCCAAGAAGAATGTGGACTATACCAACCAGAAACTACTACCAACATGGATTCAGAGACTCAAAAAAACCCTGATACCAGGAGTATGGACTAAAGATTCACCCCTGGGGCTGGCCATAAACTATGCCTCTATAATCATTGGCCTTAATCCCATGACCACACCCGTTGCTATAAGGCAATACCCTATGTTTTGAGAAGCCCGACTTGGCATCCAGCCCCTTACTGTCTGCTTGAAACAATTTGGACTTTTTCTTCTTGGTACCGGGAATCAAACTGAAGACCTTGCACTTGCCAGGCAGGCACTTGTGCAGCTGACGTATGTCCCGGCCCAACAATTTGGACTTTTAACAGACTGCCAACCACCTTGGAACACTCCATTCCTTCCCATCAAAAAGCCCAATGGGGACAACGAACTGGAGCAAGGTCCCCATGCAGTTAATGCAGCCACCATAACTTTATACCTAACAGCCCCAAATTCATATACCCTCCTGGACCTACTCTCTCCTGATGCTGCCTGGTTTTCCTGCCCAGACTTGAAAGATACTTTCTTCTGCCTGTGAGTGGCCTCATCTAGATAACTTCTTTTCCCTTTTGAATGAGGAGATTCTGATATATGACAAAAAAGGGCAACTCATGTGGACCTCACTCCTTCAAGCCTTATAGAACTCTCCCATGTTGATTGGGGAGCTTTGGCTGCTGAGTTGGCCAAATTCCCCTACAGGAAATTCAACTACACACTTCTGCAATACACTGATCACTTACTAGTTGGCAGCCCAACCAGGCAG